ATACTTCTCCCCTGTTCTCTATCACCTGCTTATTCATGACCTGGCATGGATGACTGCCCTTCCCCCAGCTCATTGTACACCCACTCCTATTTGCGGGATTTGTAAATGATAAGTCTTGTGACTCAAAAAAAAAAAAAAGGATGAATGTTAATATAAACTATGGACTTGGAGTGATGATAGTATGACAATATAGGTTTTGTTGATTGTAACAATAGTTAACAATATATGTTCATCCAATGTAACAAATTTACCACTCTGGTGTGGGATATGATAGGATTGGGAGCAGGTAGGAGCAATATGAGAATCCTGTACTTTTTGCTCAATTTTGCTGTGAACCTAAAATGGCTCAGAACAATAAAGTCTATTTAAAACACACACACACACACAGATATAGCATTTCACACCCACTAGGATGGCTATAATAAAAAAAATAGACAATGACAAGTGTGAGCAAAGATGGGGAAAACTGGAGCCTTCCTATATTGCTGGTGGGAATGAAAAATGCTACAGCCACTTTGGGAAATAGTTGGTTCATTTCTTTACAGTTGAACATCCACTTACCAGCTATGCCACTCCTATGTATAAACACAGAGTTCCCATCTGATCCAGCAGTTCTGCTCCTAGGCACACACCTGTGTTAGTCTGCTGTGGCTGCCATAACAAAATGCCACAGACTGACACGAGAAATTTATTTCTCACAGTTCTAGAGACTGGAATTTGAAAGATCAAGACGTTGGTAGGTGTGGTTTCTTCTGAGGCTTCCCTTTGGCTTGCAGACAGCTGCCTTCTCCCAGTGCTCTCACATTCACATGGTGTCTCTCCTGAGTGCCTGTACCCCTGATGCCTCTCTTTGTCTAGGGACAGCAGTCATATTGGATTCTAGCCTCACCAAAAAACTTGTTGTTGCCAGCATTAGTTACAGTAGGGAGCCTGGGTGGTTGAGTTAGTTAAACATCTGCCTTTGGCTCAGGTCATGATCTCAGGGTCCTGGGATGCAGCCCTATGTCAGGCTCCCTGCTTAGCAGGGAGTCTGCTTCTCCCTCTCCCTCTGTGCTTCCCCCTGCTTGTGCTCTCGCAGTCTCTCTCTCAAATCATAAAAATATAAAATTAAAAAATAAAATTACTCTAAAACAAAAATCTAAAAAGTATGAAATGCTTCCTTACTAAAGTGATTTTTTTAAGTTGTAGCATCTAGAATTACCAGCTATAATTGCCCCTCATCTGAATAAACAGCCATAGAAATGGAATGACTAAACAAAGCATAGATCAAGTTCTTAGACATAAAACAAAGGTGGCTATTATCTTCCAAAATTCACTAACCTTGATGGTACTCTCATGAAAAGCCTTAATCTGGCACACTTGCCAGTTTCTTTTTTTTTTTTTTTATAAATTAATTTTTATTGGTGTTCAATTTACCAACATACAGAATAACACCCAGTGCTCATCCCGTCAAGTGTACCCCTCAGTGCCCGTCACCCATTCACCCCCACCCCCCACCCTCCTCCCCCTCCACCACCCCTAGTTTGTTTCCCAGAGTTAGAAGTCTTTATGTTCTGTCTCCCTTTCTGATATTTCTCACACATTTCTTCTCCCTTCCCTTATATTCCCTTTCACTATTATTCATATTCCCCAAATGAATGAGAACATACACTGTTTGTCCTTCTCCGGTTACTGTGGCCAAGTTCAAAAAGGGTGTTGCCTGAGTTCTCCTCTGGGATTTTGATGGAATCTTGTCTCACATTTAGATCTTTCATCCATTTTGAGTTTATCTTTGTGTATGGTGCAAGAGAGTGGTCTAGTTTCATTCTTCTGCATGTGGATGTCCAATTTCCCCAGCACCATTTTTTGAAGAGACTGTCTTTCTTCCAGTGGATCGTCTTTCCTCCTTTATCGTATATTAGTTGACCATAAAGTTCAGGGTCTACTTCTGGGTTCTCTGTTCTGTTCCATTGATCTATATGTCTGTTTTTGTGCCAGTACCACACTGTCTTGATGAACACAGCTTTGTAGTACAACCTGAGATCTGGCATTGTGATGCCCCCAGATATGGTTTTCTTTTTTTAAAATTCCCCTGGCTGTTTGGGGTCTTTTCTGATTCCACACAAATCTTAAAATAATTTGTTCTAAGTCTCTGAAGAAAGTCCATGGTATTTTGATAGGGATTGCATTATACGTGTAAATTGCCCTGGGTAACATTGACATTTTCACAATACTAATTCTGCCAATCCATGAGCATGGAATATTTTTCCATCTCTTTGTGTCTTCCTCAATTTCTTTCAGAAGTGTTCTGTAGTTTTTAGGGTATATTTTGAGAACCATTTGAATGGTAAATGGTTCTCCAACCTTTTATTTTCAGGTTGTAGGTGTCCTTCTGTCTAAAATGAGTCTCTTGTAGACAGCAAATAGATGGGTCCTGTTTTTTTATCCAGTCTGAAACTCTGCGCCTTTTGATGGGGTCATTAAGCCCATTCACGTTCAGAGTTACTTGAACTTCTTCTTAAAGGGGAGTTTTAAGAGTCCCCCTTAAAATTTCTTGCAGAGCTGGTTTGGAGGTCACATATTCTTTCAGTTCCTGCCTGTCTTGGAAGCTCTTTATCTCTCCTTCCATTTTGAATGAGAGCCTTGCTGGATAAAGTATTCTTGGTTGCATGTTCTTCTCATTTAGGACCCTGAATATATCCTGCCAGCCCTTTCTGGCCTGCCAGGTCTCTGTGGAGAGGTCTGCTGTTACCCTAATATTCCTCCCCATGAAAGTCAGGGACTTCTTGTCTCTTGCTGCTTTAAGGATCTTCTCTTTATCTTTGGAATTTGCAAGCTTCACTATTAGATGTCGAGGTGTTGAACGGTTTTTATTGATTTTAGGGGGGGATCTCTCTATTCCCTGGATCTGAATGCCTGTTTCCCTTCCCAGATTGGGAAAGTTTTCAGCTAGGATTTGTTCAAATACATATTCTGGCCCTCTGTCCCTTTCGGTGCCCTCGGGAACCCCAATTAAACGTAGGTTTTTCTTCCTTAGAGTGTCATTTATTTGCCTTAATCTGTCTTCATGGTTCTTTAATTGTTTATCTCTTTTTTCCTCAGTTTCCCTCTTTGCCATTAACTTGTCTTCTATGTCACTCACTCGTTCTTCCACCTCGTTAACCCTCGTCGTTAGGACTTCTAGTTTGGATTGCATCTCATTCAATTGATTTTTAATTTCTGCCTGATTGGATCTAAATTCTGCAGTCATGAAGTCTCGTGAGGCCTTAATGCTTTTTTCTAGAGCCACCAGTAGCTGTAGAATAGTGCTTCTGAATTGGCTTTCTGACATTGAAGTGTAATCCAGATTTTGTAACTCTGTGGGAGAGAGGGCTGTTTCTGATTCTTTCTTTTGAAGTGAGGTTTTCCTTCTAGTCATTTTGCTCAGTGCAGAGTGGCCAGAAACAAGTTGTATTGGAACACGGGGGAGTATCACTGGTCCGTCTAGCTGGTCTTCTGGGGGAGGGGCCTGCTGTGCTGATTCTCAGGTGTTAGCACTTGGGGGAGCTGCTCTGCCCCTGCCTGCTGCAGGGCTCAGCGGGGGTTGTTCACCCCGTCAGGCCCCAGGAGGAACAGCAGCAGTTGCTATGGCAACTCTGGAAGCCTGGATTCAGCCTCCGCAGGAACTACAGGGCTCGGGGCTCTCGGTTCTCCGTCCGCAGGGCCTGGAGGCTCCGGGGCGGGGCCGCTGATCTGCTCAGCTCGGGGCAGGAGCGTCCTCGCTGTCCTGGGCCCTCCCGGCCTCTGCCTGTCCCGGGGGAGGCCGGATCCTGGGCTGTGTCCCGGCGCCCTGTGCTCCGGGGCCTGCGCTGTTGGATTCGCGCTCCCGCCCCGCAGCCCCCTCCGCGGAGCCGCCGCCCGAGCCCCTCCGAGCTGCTCCGGTTGGTCCCGCCGTGCGCGCTGCATCCCTTAGGGAGCTCGGCGCACTCTCCCGGGGCGCAGGTGTCTGTTAGTGTCCCCGGGAGCCCGAGGGCATCCCCGCCCTCCTGGGTCCTGCTCCAACTCCCTGCGGGCCCCTTTCCGCCCGCCCGGGAAGGTTGGTGCAGCTCCTGCTCCTCCGGGACGGGGCTCTCCTGTCCTGGGGACACTCGCCCCGGCCTCAGCCCGGCTCCTCGCGGTGCCCCTCCCCCTCCGAGGCCTTTTGTTCCTTTATTTCTTTTTCCCCGTCTTCCTACCTTGATAGAAGCGCGAACTCTTCTCACTGTAGCATTCCAGCTGGTCTCTCTTTACATCTCAGGCCGAATTCGTAAATTTTCAGGATGGTTTGAAGGTTATCTAGGTAATTTGGTGGGGACAGGTGATTTGGGGACCCTGCTCTTCCGCCATCTTGCCCCTCCGCCACCCACTTGCCAGTTTCTAATAAAGAATCATAGGATACTTCACCTCAAGTAATGACTAACCAATAATCATGTAACCCTAAAGTGATGTATTTTGTCCCATCCTAGAAATACATCATAGTGCCAATCTACCTTTGCACTCAAATATTGACTTGAACAGTTGAACGACGAAGCTCAGTTCAAGGAATGAGATTGTGATATAAGCTATAAAATGAATTGTGAGCAATGGCATACATCAGGGATTGTTAACCTCAACACTATTGACATTGTGGGTCAGAACACTCTCGTGGGGCCTGCCCTACACATTCAATGATCTTTAACAGTATCCCTCACCTCTGCCCCCTACATGCCAGTAGCACATCCTAACCCCCAAGTTATGACAACCAAAAATGTTTCTAGACATTACCACGTATTTCCTAGGGGGCAAAATTGAGAACCACTGCCATAAGTCAAGGAAGATTTCATGAGTTTTCATGGTACTAACACAAACTGTGTACCAAAAGAAAAAAAAATCATGTTTGATTTCTACTTTACTTGTATAAGCTCTGTTGATTTGAAATATCCAGAATATTGTATAAAAAGCAGTTCCGGGGCGGGACCGGCTGACAGTAATAGAGCCGAAGGCTGTTCACAGAGCAAGTGAAGATGAATGCCAGAGGACTTGGATCTCAGCTGAAGGACAGTATTCCAGTTACTGAGGTTTCAGCAAGTGGACCTTTTGAACAGCATGATCTTCTTCGAAAAGGTCTCCCTTGTGTGAAAAATGAACTTTTTTTGCCCAGTCATCCTCTTGAATTATCAGAAAAAAATTTCCAGCTCAACCAAGATAAAATGAATTTTTCTACACTAAGAAACATCCAGGGTCTGTTCGCTCCACTAAAATTACAAATGGAATTCAAGGCAGTGCAGCAGGTTCAGCATCTTCCATTTCTTCCAAGCTCAAACCTTTCATTGGATATTTTAAAGGGTAATGATGAGACTATTGGATTTGAAGATATTCTTAATGACCCGTCACAAAGTGAACTAATGGGAGAACCACACTTGATGGTGGAATATAAACTCGGTTTACTGTAATCTGTTGTGCTGTTCATGAAAATAGAGGGGCTGCATGTTGTTTATAGTCGTCTTTTTACTATAATTTAATGCATACAACATTAAAAGTACACATGAGGAAAAACAAAAGCAGTTCTGTTGATCTTACTAAATTTAGATTACCATATTCTTTGCCAGTTTTATTTGGAAGATATCACATTTTGATCTAAAATTTGAATCCAATGCTGAAATGCCAGCTTGGAGCCAGAGGAACGAGTGTTTGTATTATAGTAAAAGACTGCCCGTTGACACTTATAAATGGAAATACTTATAAAAAATCAGGAATGTAATTTTATAATGAGTTTTGCCACATAGTAGATTTGCTATCGACAGACTTTGCAAATACACTTGATGTCGCCTAAGAGTGAAGGACATCATCATTTAAGTTTGATACATTGTACTTCAAGGGTTGTAAATATGAACTTAGTGCATTCTGAAACTATGGTATGGGTGGCACTTCCCCACACATTTTGGTATGTCATAACATTAATATAATACCACCTTGTAACATTGATTTTCCCACTGAAAAGTCTTTACCTCCCTCAAGAGGATCATAAATAGATGGGATGGTCTGTTAAAAGATGGGATGGGGTGAAATGGTCAATAACTTTCCCTCCTTCCTCCTTCCTTCCTTGCTTCCCTCCCTCCATCCTTCCTACCTCCTTTATCAAGAGTCACTGAGACACTAAAGCTAATATCCCATCACCCTTCGTTCTTACAAGCAAGCAAGCATGGACACACTAGCCTCTCCAGTAGCAGGATGGGAGGCTTTATCAGGAGCGATCCCCAGAGTTCACATCCATGGGATTGGCTACAGATGCCTACTAAAGATATATGATGACATCATGAGCAGCGAAAAACAAAATACACTTCCTAATTGGAAGATTTGTGAACTAATAGTGTAAGAATAAACCTACTGGCTGATTTCTGTACCTCAGTAAATGGCACTCCATCTTTCTCTTCTCAAGACAAAAACCTTGCAGTTGTCCTCATGTTTTTTTCTTCTTTCACCTCTTATATCCAACCCATCAGTTCACCCTCAAAATGCATCTGAACTCCAATCACTTGTCATCACTTCCACAGCGAACAGCTAATCCCTGCTGTGATCATTAACTGGGTTATTGTGACGGCCTCCTAGAGTCTTTTCCCAACACAACCACCAATGTGATCATTTTAAGACATATAGCAGATAATGTCCCAGCTCTGTGCAAAGTCCTCCCATGGTTATTCGGCTCACTCAGAAACCTAAATCTATATGAAGGCTGGAAGGCCCCTGCTGATCTGAGCCTCAGTGGCCTCTGTCCTCATGACTCACATTCTCCCTCTATCCCTCTGTTCCATCCTCAGGGAGCCTCTTGTATCTACAGCGTAGCCCGCATATGGGGCTCCCTGCTCAGAAGGGAGTCTACTTCTTCTCCCTCTGCACCCCCAACTCATGCTCTCTCTCTCTCTCAAATTAATAAAATTTTTTAATAAAATAAAATTCCACAAATAGTGCTAGAACAACTGTACATCCACATGCAAAGAAGAAGAAAAAGAAGGAAGAGGAGAAGAAGGAGGAGGAAAAGAACCTGGGCACAGACCTTATATACTCAACAAAAATTTGCTCAAACTGACATTAATGTAAAACTCAGAATTTTAAAACTCCCAGAATATAATTTGGGAGAACTATAGATGAACTTGGGTTTGTTGGTGAGCTTTTTGAGACAACACTAAAGCCACAGTCATGAAAGAAAGATTGATATATGTACTTCATTAAAATTAAAAGTTTTTGCCTTGTGAAAGGCACTGTTAAGAGAATGAAAAGACAAGCCACAAACCAGGAGAAAATATTTGTAAAAGACACATCTGATAAAGAATTGCCATCCACAAAAAAATTGTTATCCACAATATGCAAAGAATTCTGACGGGATGAACACTGGGTGTTATACTATATGTTGGCAAATCGAATTCCAATTAAAAAATACACAAAAAATGCAAAGAATTATCAAAACTCAATATTAACTAAATAAGCAACTGATTTAAAAAATGGGCCAAAGACCTTAAGAGGTACCTCACCAAGGAATAAGATATACAGATGGTAACTAAGCGTATGAAGAGATGCTCCATATCCCATGCCATCAGGGAAATGCCAATTAAAACTATAGTGAGATATCATTACACACCTATTAGAATGGCCAAAATCCAAAACACTGACACCAAATGCTGGTGAGGATGTGGAGGAACATAAACTCCGATCCATTGCTGGCAGGAATCAGAATAGCACAGCCACCTTGGAAGACAGCTTGTTGATCTTATTATCCTATCTTGCATTCATGCTCCATGGTATTTACCCGAAGGTGTTCAAAACTTATGTCCCCACAAAAACCTGCATGTGGATATTTATAGCAGCTTTATTCATCAGCAAAACTTGGAAGCAATCACAGATATCCTTCGGTATGTGAATGGATAAATAAAAAATGGTATATCCAGACAGCGAAATATTATCCAGTGCTAAAAAGAATGAGCTATAAAACTATGTAAACTTCATAAGTGAAAGACATGAATCTGAAAACACTATATACCACATGATTCTGACAATATGATATTCTGGAAAAGGTAAAATTATGGAGATGGTAGGAAGTTCACTGGTTACCAGGACTGGGGGGAGGAATGGATGAATAAGAGGCATACAGAGGATTTTTAGGGCAGTGAAACAACTCTGTATGATACTATAGTGGTGAATCTATAACATTACAAGTTTATCCAAACCTATAGAATAACTCTGAGACTGAACCCTCACTTAAACTAGGGTCCCTAGAGGATACGATGTGTCAGGTTAGATTCATTGATTATAACAAGTGTACCATTCTAGTTGGGAGATGTTGATATGGGGAAGGCTATATACATGTTTGGGGGCAGGGTGTATATGGGAAATCCCTGGACCTTCTGTGTCTTAAAATTGCTCTAAAAATAAAATCTATTGGAAAATAAAAATATTAAATATATTTAAAAATATAAATATAGAGGGACACCTGGGTTGCTCAGCAGTTGAGGGTCTGCCTTTGGCTCAGGGCATGATCCCAGAGTCTTGGGATTGAGTCCTACATCGGGGGTCCCTGGATGGAGCCTGCTTCTCCCTCTGCCTATGTCTCTGCCTCTGTGTGTGTCTCTCATGAATAAATAAATAAAATCTTTAAAATATATATATATAAATATAGATAATAGATGATAGAGATAGTTGGTAGATGGATAGATAGATTGATAAGTAAATCAGAGCCTAGCTCAAATATTCTCTCATTTTTTATACCCCTCCCAAGCCACTCCTTCCCCAATCCAGGCAAAAATTATAGCTACCTTTTGTGTTTTTCCATGTACTTTGATTTTACCGTTTATATGGAGCTATATGTCAAAACTCTTTAGCTACATAGCTTCTTCCAAGAGATCTTTATTTTTAATCCTCTAGGCAATAGCACTGACTTTTTACATAGTAAAAAATTTAGCACAATTCAATGATATTTATTATGGAGCATTTAATTGTTTGCTAACTTAATTCTGGTTTTTTTGAATCTTCAGATGTTTGGGTAGGTAACAAATAACATGTCACGTAGCTGCCTTCTGCTCTCAAAGGTCTCAAAAAGACCATATGATGGTCTCTTGCAGTTTCTGTCAGTGGCAAAATTTGGAGATTCTTGAGGACTTTCTGTGGTACCTCTTTCCCAGACTCCTGTTAAGAAATTTTTCTAAAAATACTCCCCCTACCAGACAATTTTCTCATTTTGAGTTGTTTATTTAAATTTGTTTCAGCTATAGAGCAACTCAATTTTATCATCAACAGATTCGGATTCTAAGAAGAAATCAAGAAGGTAACCAAGGATAGTGTGAATGTCAGTTATAGCTTATAATTGCATCAGGCCTCACAGAGGCTTAATATCCTGATGAGTCTTATCCTTTGGATAGGAACGTACTGTTTCACTGGTTCTCAACTACAACATTACAGCCTACTTCAAAATCCTCTGGTGAGCTTATTAAAACAAGATTGCTGGGTCCTGAGCCCAGAGTTTCTAATGCAGGAGGTCTGAGTGGAGACTGGTTATTTCTAACAAGTTCCCAATTAATGCTGATCCTGCTGGTACAGAGAACCACACTCTGAGAACACCTCCTCTATATGGGCAAGTGCCTGCGGAGAATCTCTCTAATGGTGTTATCTCCTTTTTAACTGTGAAGACCATGGGTTCGTCAGAAATGTGATGTGTCAACGTTCTAGAACTCTATAATGTTATATGACATTGAAATAGAGAAACAAGTTGCATTTGTCTGCCATACACTTAAAAGGATCAGTGCATTGTTCTTTCATCACCACCGAATGAAATAAGTACAACTTAGCAGGGTCCAAGGAACCAGCTTTAAAGAAGGTGTACAAAAGGAGTAAGACAAGTGGCATAAACTTCCAGGGCAAATACATTTGCAATTTAAGTGAAGGCATCCCAGGAGAAACACTGAGTATGAATGCGTGTTAGTCTACTTATGTCAGAGAGCCCTCACACTAATTCTTTCATAGCCCAGGACAAAGAAGAGTGACATTGAATCTCTAGACATGGTGGAAAGCTAGAAAAGAAGCTGTGCCCTAATAATTTTGTAGAAAGATTTCTCTTAAGATTAGCACCTTAAACAGCACACACTCCTAGTAGATTGTGTTTTGACCAGCAACACTAACTCTTAGGCAGAAATCAGTGAGATCATCATTTGTTCCAAAGATTTGAATCACGTGGAAATCCCAAGTGGTTTTGTTGTCGTTGTTTTTACAAAGATTTTCCAACTGGAATGCCTGGGTGGCTCAGTGGTTGAGCAGTTGAGCAGTTGAGCATCTGCCTTTGGCTCAGGGTGTGATCCCAGGTCTAGGGATTGAGTCCCACATAAGGCTCCCTGTGAAGAGCCTGCTTCTCTCTCTATGTCTCTGCCTCTCTCTGTGAGTCTTTCATGAATAAGAAAATAAAACCTTTAAAAAAAAGAATTCCCAGCCTTATTAAT